AATTATGGGATGACTTCTAACATTATTCTGACTTTGTTTATTTTTCTTTTACTTTTTGTTTGTAGGTAGGTTTCATAAACTACTTCAAGAACAAAAACAAAAATCAGGCATGATAGTCTCCCTATGTTTTCTCACTCTTTGGAGCAATGCATCATCCATCTAGAAAGCAACCCTCAACATGCTTTTATAAACTCACCAAGATATGATGTTGAAGTGGACTTACACACAAGACATGTGGATTTAAATTCAATGAATGAGGGGGCAAATCTAGGACATGGGGAAATTCAAGTATTGTTGCTCCTAGGGATGTACCCCGATTTGACATGATCATTACTTCTGCCTTGGGGGTACTTTGGCCAATTGGACAGTCAAGCTTTTCTTTGCTTCATTCATCCATGAGTGGGATGAGTCAGCTTTCTAGTAGCTCAGCTTGTGGCTATATGAAAGGAGGGAATAACAAGCTCTTTTATATTCTCTGAAATATTTGCTATCATGCTAATTAGTTTTCCAATCTTTACAATTCAGTCTCACATGTTGCCATATGACCATCCATTAAACCTGATGCAACTCTTCTTGTTAATCATTGTCCAAACCATCATTCACCATTGAGACATCATTTGATGCCATTAATATGCCAAAAAAAAAAAAATCAAATAAAAAAAACCAAGAAAGAACAAAAAAATTTACTTGCATATATATGCTTTCCTCACATGCTATTGCTTATCCATGTTTCTTTTTGCTTTCAGGCTTTGCTAATGATGAATCTGAATACAATGATGCCATTTCGGGATTGGTATATGGTTCAAATGATCCAAATCCATGTCAAGGAAGATGATGATGATCTTGATTCTTCCCTTGAACTAATTGATATGTTGCAAAATAGAGGCCAAAGTTGCAATCAAATGTGATAGACTCATAAAAAAAATAAATAAAAAAAATAAAATAAAATAAAAAAAGAGAAAGAGAGAGAGAATAAGGAAATCTTGCTAAATTAAGTTGAATGATTGTCATCATTTTTGAGGTCTAAAGCGAAAAACTCAAGGATCAAAGCCATCTTTCATGAGCCTAATTTCGAAACACTTTACCCAAAAGAGTCATCCTTTTTGTCAATCAAGTTGAGCCTAAAAGAAAAACTAAGCCTTTCTTTCATACCTATCCCAAAACCGGGGAATATAGTTACATGCCTAATTGGGGGGCAAGATCATATTGCTAAAAGCCATGAAGGGAAATCTCAAAAGAGTAGCAAAGTTCAAAGAGAGCAAAGCTCAA